TTTCAAGAAAAAGTTGAACTCTGAAGGGAAAATAGAAAAATACAAAGCTAGGTTGGTTGCAAAGGGTTTCACCCAAAAAGAAGGGATAGATTATGATGAAACTTTTTTCCTTGTTGACAAATTTTCATCCATCCGAATCCTTATAGCTATAGCTGCCCATTTTTACTTTGAGGTTCATCGAATGGATATCAAAACAACCTTTCTAAATGGGGATTTAAAAGAAAAAATTTACATGACCCAACCTGAGGGGTTTGAAAAAAAAGGGAAAGAAAATTTAGTATGCGAATTAGATAAATCTCTTTATGGCCCGAAACAAGCATCGCGACAGTGGTAAATAAAATTCCAGAGACCTTTGCTCCTGCAGGGTTCTCCACAAATAATGAGGATTATTGCACATATCAAAAGGTTAGTGAGAGTGATGTGGTCTTTATATCGTTATATGTGGATGATATGCTAACTGTTAGTAGCTCAATTGCTCTAGTAGTAGAGACGAAAAATTTCCCTGCACAACACTTCGATATGAAGGATCTTGGAGAAGCTTCATATGTGTTGGCCATCAAGATAATAAGAAACAGGAGAGAAAAAACTATTCAACTTTCCCAGGCAACCTACCGTAAGAGGATACTGGAAAAGTTTGATATGAGTATGTATAAGCCCATGTCTACCCCAATTGACAAAAAGACGTTTTATGTATGCCATGACAAGAACAAGGCCTGACTTGTCATTTGTCATGAGTCTGGTGAGCTGTTTCCAAAGTAATCCGGGAGAGGAGCATTGAAAAGCTGTAAAAAGAATTTTCAGATATTTAAAAGGAACCATGAACTATGCACTCACATATAAAGGGGGAACTGAAATAGCAATAGAAGGATATTCAGATGTAAGCTATTTCGCGGATCCAGATGATGCAAAGTCTACATCTGGGTATGTATTTATTGCTTGGAGGGGGTGCAGTTTCTTGGAAGTCAAATAAACAAGATATTATGGCCTTGTCCACCATGGAATCCGAATATGGGGCATACTGTCTAACAGCCAAAGAGGCAGTGTGGATTAAGAAGTTTCTTAATCAACTTAATTTTCATCATATGCGTTGTAAGGCAGTGAGAATTTTTTGCGACAACACTACGACTATTTGTGTCTCTAAGGAGCCTCGGTTTCACAAGAACTCCAAGCATATTAAGCCTTATTTTTATCACTTGATAAATGATGTGAGATTGAAAGAGATCGATATCAGTTACATATCTACAGATTTGATGATTGCATACCCTCTAACTAAGGGAGTTGTCCCTATTGTTTTTGTAAGACATGTGAGAGAGATAGGGATGAGAGAAAGTGATGAAGAGATAATGTAAAGCCTTCAAAGGGCAAG